CTAAAAGGAGTTGCCTATACGCCGCTATGTCTGAATTTGGCATCCCCTCAAAACTCATACGGCTGTGTAAAATGACGTTGAGCAATACCACCAGCTCCGTCAGAATTGGGAAAGACCTCTCCGAGCCGTTGGCCACAAAATGGGGTTTCAGACACGGCGACTCCCTTTCATGTGACTTCTTTAATCTGATGTTGGAGAAGATAATAAGAGCTGCAGAACTGAACTGCTCAGGAACAATTTACTACAAGAGCGAGCAATTGCTGTCTTATGCCGATGACATCGACATCATCGGTAACAAAAACCGCGAAGTCTGTTCTGCCTTTTTCAAGTTGGATAGGGAAGCAAAGCGCATGGGTCTGGTGGTAAACGAGGACAAGACGAAGTATCTCCTGTCATCAAACAAACAGTCAGCACATTCGCGCCTTGGCACCCACGTCACTGTTGACAGTTACAATTTCGAGAAAGTAGAGAATTTCGTTTACTTGGGAACCAGCATTAACACCGATAATAATGTCAGCATTGAAATCCAACGTAGAATCACTCTTGCCAACAAGTGCTACTTTGGACTGAGTAGGCAATTCAGGAGTAAAGTCCTCTCTCGACGTACGAAAACCACGCTCTATAAGTCACTCATCATGCCCGTGCTGGTATATGGCGCAGAAGCATGGACAATGACAACATCCGATGAGGCGGCTCTTGGAGTGTTTGAGAGAAAGATTTTGCGGAAGATTTACGGGCCTTTACGCGTTGGCGACGGCGAGTACCACAGACGATGGAACGATGAGCTGTATGAGCTTTACAACGATATGGACATAGTGCAGCGAATTAAAATACAGCGGCTCCGCTGGCTTGGTCATGTCGTTCGAATGGACACCGACGCTCCAGCTCTGAAAGTATTCAACTCGGAACCCGCTGGTGGTAGCAGAGGAAGAGGGAGGCCCCCACTGCGATGGAAATATCAGGTGGGGAAGGACTTGGCTTCACTTGGCGTCAGTTGGCACAGAGGAGAAACGACTGGCGTGCTTTGCTGAACTCGGCCAAAATCGCTTAGGCGGTTACAGCGCCAAAGAAGAAGAGGAACGCTTTGTGGGCTGCCCAAACCCGCGGGTACCTCGTGTGGAACAAACCTATTAACTTCTTGCACATTTCTACCCGGAAAAAGTCCGGGCTGTATCATACACAAAGAAAAAGACATTTACGAGCCAAACGTGGAAGGTATTCGCTCTCTATTACCCATTTTTCTAGCATGAGGAACGCTTTCTGGGCTGTTTTGGGCACCCGCGGGTACCGCGTGTGGAACAAACCTATTAACTTCTTGCACATTTCTACTCGGAAAATGTTCGAGCTGTTTCGTGCACGACGAAGAAGACATTTACGATCCAAAAGTGGAAGGTATTCGCGTTCCAGGCGCTCACGATATTCACGATTTGCAGGCTTTTTTTGCAGGAATGCGTTCCAGGGGCCAAAAAACCTCTACGTCAAACCACTTTTGGGAGAGTAACTTGCACTCTCTCTCTGTCAGAAGTCGCAGGTTTTATTCTGAAGTTTTTCTTCCGCAAGTTCATCAAAAGTGAGACAAAACAACAGAAAGAAAACAACATTAAGCGCCACGGAGACAATCAAATAAATACGTGAAGCATTGCATATGTGTGAGGTTGGCTCGTATCTTGCCCGCAAACGTTGAAATAAACGCGTCAATTCAACAAACAATTTCAATTTCTTTTCCGCGTACTCGCTCACCACGACGATCAGAAGGCAAGTGCGCTTGTTTTTTGTCATGCATAACACGAGACGGTTGATAAAGATATTTGATCGTCTCCATGGTGCTTCACATAAAAAAAAAATGGTAGTAGTTACAAGAAAAGTGGCTTTTCGCGTTCCAGGTGACTTTTATAAGGTCCATGCAATATAAATAAATTGTTACGAATTGTAACTAGTACTTCCAAGTTTTTACTGGAAATGCATTCAATAACACAAAATATTTGCAAGAGAGATCGAATTCGAGAGCGTAACAACCCGAGAGAGCTGCAAATTCTTGCAAGTAAAAATTTTACTAGCAGGAATTTGCAGGAGTCAACAAGTAAGGTTATGTTTCAAATTCAAATGTAAACAAACTGTTTAAGAGGATGATTTGATGAAACATAATTAGTGAAATGAAGATATGGATGAAAAATTTAAATCTATTGTATATTTTTTTATTTTTATGACGACGGGAGTTAAAAAGAAAATTGCGCGCAAAACTTAACCGTCAGAAAGTGTCAAAATGGCTAAGTTGCATGTTTTTACTAGTTTTGCGTTCAATAACTTTTTCTGAAAATTTTCTCTTGATATCAAGTTTACTCTTTATCTTTTACGCTCTCGCTGCAATTACTTACTGGAAAAATTATGGAATGGACCACAGGATAGACAGTAACCAACCTTTTTGGGTTGTTGTTGTAGTTATATTCACTCCTGAGGAAGGCACGGGGTTGTGTGCTGCTATTTAATGGCCTTCCTCAGACTTTTTCTTAGATTTCAGGGTTGTGTGCTGCATTATTATTAGATAAATAAATTTAAGCATTTGACAAATCGTGATTTTATTAAAAGAAAATTATAAATGGTGTTGAAAAACCAAACAAACGCTATTGCGAAAGCTCTATTTTTGTGTGTTGTTAAAATTTATACATGGCGTATTGATGGTAATACAAGCAATGTGTTCTTTTGTGGATTTTATGTTCCTTGAGAATTTAGACAACGTGCGGGCTGAGCTGCCAGGTTCTGTTATCAATATAATTAACACAAGCTTTTCCGCGTGGTTGCCTTTCAATAACTAGAATAAACAAATATTCGCAAATAAATTGGATTTATTTTATAACTGACAACTAACGTACGCTTTTTGTTCTTTTCTCCAGTTTGATTTTGACTCTTTATTACCGCCAACAACTTTATGTGTATACATATTTACAAGCTGTCAAAATTTTGCATAGTCCCACGAGCTAGGTAAAAACTATGGCATTCATATTGACAACGAGAAATCTCAAAATTTTTGTTTGGTCTTTCTAAATTTTCTCTTTTTTATCAGTTGGCAAAGGACCTCAGTGGCAGCGCTCCGAGCGTTGAGATAGTAATTTCATGTCAATTAGTAGAAAGGTTCCATGTTGAAAAAACTTTTTATTATGGCGAGAAAATTTTACATTTCTGCTGTCCCAATTCGTAACTTTTTACTGCTGAAACATTTTGACAGTTGTTCTAGTGCAAAAGAAGTTGAGCAATTAAAATCAGAAATTATACAAAAAAGACTTGTCTTTACTGACTTTTATTCTTCTAGAACTAAAAGCTATGCATTTATTAGACGCCTTAGTAATAAAATTAGAACAAAAAAATTCTTCAAAACCGTCAGGCCGGGTTGAAAATTTTCATTCACCTCATAGTTAACAAAAATTTACAATCCGTAGTACTTTTCTATCAACTCGCAAATGCCGTTTGCACAAAAAAGGTTATGAAATGCGTTTTATTTAAATCGTTTAGAAAATGAGTCATTTATGTATACCATTTTATGTGGAATTAATCAATAAATTTCGTTTTACACTATACTTTTTGAAACTATTTGGAGCTAATTATTTTTTGTTGCTTAAAAGCAACCCTGCGTAAACCCTACCCACCCATGAACCAAAAATACAAGATCACGTAAGAAGGCGACGTTGTATTTGTAACTGGTTTTGAGAAAAAAGTTTGCGAAAGCGGGTTCGTCAGCTGAGCGTTTGTTTACATCACAAGCACCACTATTTTACACTTTTATTCAAGTAAAGAATAGTTAATTCAACATGACAAC